GTCGTGGTCTTTGGGGAATTTTTCCATTTTTAGAAAAATCCTAACTGCTGATAGAGCCGTGCTGGACCAGACGTTCCTGACCGGGGTTTCCCACTCACTCACTCACTCAGTACAGGGATGTTAGCGCCCCCTGTCATTAATGTCCACTCTCTTGTCTCTGCAGACTGTGTGAAGCTGGACCACAGCAGCAGTGGCTCAGTGGGGGGCGCCGTTCTCAGAGGTTCTCGCTCCAAAGCAGAGCTGCAGGATCTGATGGAGACGCTGCAGCGTAGAAAGAGCGCCCTGGAGGCCAGTCTGAGGGCGGCCGAGTGCGGCCGCAAGTACCTGAGCGTCCCCTCACCCGTTGGACCCCAGTCCACCAGGACCCTGTCCATCCTCAGCAGCACCGACCGCCCTCCCTCCAGAAACTTCTCCTACATCAGCAGCAGCAGCGTTCCTCCGTCACCTCGACAGGGGGAGCGTCAGCTGACGACCAACGGCTTGGCCCGTCATTCCCAGACTCGCCACCAGTCACAGGACAGTCTGCTGCTCTCTAACGCCGTGGAAGGAAACTCCCTTCTCCCCCCTTATGGGGACCACATACCTCGATCTCCCAGGATCAAGAGCGGCGTGGCCAGTATGCCGTCCAGCCCACGTATGGGTCGTAGAATCTACTCTCAGGGCAAAGCGGGAGAGTCCCGACAGAGGAAGTATTCCACCGGCTCCCTCAACAGCCTCGGGATGCACAGCCGCTCCCTGCCCCGGCTTCACGGTGCAGCGGACCCCCCCACTCTCTCGCTGCCTTTGCGTCACCCAGTTGGGTCACACAGGGGAGTGGGCTCGGCCGCGTCCCGGCGCAGTCTCTCCTCCCTGGAGCAGCCTCCAGATGTAACGGTCCCGGCCAGCATGCCCAACACCCCCAGGAGGGCCAGTCTGGCCTCGCTCAGCTCCCTGGGCGTAGATCTGGACGCTTCAGGTTTGGACCTGGGCTTTGGAGAGAGGAGGTTGTCTTTTGGTAAAGGTGGGCTGAGTCCCGGGCAGAGAGTGGGCAGCATCAGTTCACTGAACGGAAAAGAGGAGCTGAGGGACTACCACCAGCATCAGAGGGACGAACGACTCCGAGAGCAGAAGGTGCAGCGTCTGGTGAGTTTGTTTCACTCTTTAGTCCAGAGTGTGAGGATTAGTGACATCTGATGGTTAGACGGCAGACTGCAACAACCAGAGGACTAGTCGACCCACTCCACAGGACATCAAGCAACAGGAGAACTTAACTTAGCCATGATACGAGACAGCGCCACCAGGTGACTGTTTTAAAGCTGTCCTTCAGGTTACTGTTTTAAAGCTGCCCTTCAGGTTATTGACTCCTGACTGGATGTCAGTCCATCACAGTCCAGCCCCTCCCTTTATGTGGAAAGGTAAGCAGAGAGTGTGTGTGGTTCCACTGTGACAGTGTCCTCCCACTCTGGAGACAAATGTCTGTCTGTCCAAACCAGGAAGACAAACAAAGCAGTGAACAGCTGCTCTCCTCTCTGTCCTCTGACAGAGCTGTGGGATGGAGGCAGTGAACAGCTGCTCTCCTCTCTGTCCACTCCTCTGACAGAGCTGTGGGATGGAGAAGGACACGAGCAGCTACCCTGCTGTAGAAACCAGAGACTGGACTGGAAATGTCCTGTTGGTTCAGAGCTCATCGTCTCAGAACGTAGATCTGATAAAGGACTATTTTTTACTTGTTTTATTAAATAAGAAACATTTTCACTCATGCCTCAACAGTTGCAGGTTTTACTCAGTAGAGGGCGATACAAATGATAATAACAATTACGGTCATATCCATCAACGGCAGCTTGAAGACGTTGTGACTTCTGTAACGTTCACCGCTCCTATTGGATCCTCATGTTGGTCTTTATTGTCAGTTTTCTACTAAATGGGATCGTAATTCGAACCTGATTTAAATCGGTCCTTGGTCCTTGGTACTGAAGCTACGTTTGTGCGTCCTTGTTCTGTTTAACCCTTTTTCAGGGTCACAGCACATGTAGGCTTCATACTGAAAGACCTGGGACAGAACCAGAACCATGTTGTCGGTCCAACATCATGTCCTTTATAAGGATCAGAATTTCTGTGAAAAATTCAAAGTTTTATTACACACTCCCCTCAGATGGAACTTGTTCTAAAGCTGTTTTTTTTTTTCCTGACAGGAGAACCAGCGTCTGGAGACCATCCTGAACCTGTGCACCGAGCTGGGTCAGGTGGAGCGAGAACCTGCAGGTTCCTCTGTTTCTGACCTGCAGAAGATCAACAAGGAGCTGGAGAAGCTGCAGGTTTCTGACGAGGACTCCGTCTTCTCAGACACTCCCGGCACCGTGGCTCAGGAGAACTGCTTCGGGACCAGATCTAGAGAGTCCAGGACCCAGTCACCACCCGTCAGCCTGAACAGCACCACCCCCTCCCCCACCACCCACCACCGAGCCAAGGTGAGACTCTCCAAACGTCTCTCTGCTCCTGGAGGTCAGGGGTTTGAATTCAACTGTGTTTTTGTGCCCTAAAGCAAGGCACCGAACTCTAGGTTCCACGTGATCCGTCCAAGTGTGAAGTGCTTTATTAAAACCCATCTGAAGTGAGACACTGAACCGACACAGAACACACAGGGTCGCGACCCTAAGACTGCAGAGAAGTAGAGCAGAATTCCACTCTGCTGTGGAATGCTGCTCCTCAGACTGACGACTGCTTGTTTATCTTTTGTTTATGTGTTTGTTTGTGGATTACCAGGGCAAATTCCTGGGCAATTTTCAATTTTCTTCCTACACCACAGCTAAACTCTATCTGAACTGTGAGGTTTGGGAGAAAAATAAAAAACGCATAAAAGTTTTAAAGGCAGCGTTGTTCAGGGTTCTAAAAACTTCCTTTAGTTTAAAGCTAACAGCTAACGTTAAGGTTTATCAGACTTTTTTGTCTGGCAACTCCTCTCTAATATCCATGGTCCAATATAATATTTTATTAATAATAATAATAATAATAATAACCTTCAGACTCACATGTTCGTGAGTTCATGAGTCGTTAAAATACAGTCGCGGAAACGCTGTATATTTATCTGAAGACAAACAAACCTGTGTGTTTTGTAGTTGACACATTTCCTGTTTATGTGTGTGTTGATAAGACACATGATGATGAAGCTCATCTTCATCATCTTCAGCGCCTCCTCACCTCCTCTGAGCTTCGTCACTGTTTGACTGACTCCTCCGTGGTTCTCCTCTCCGCAGCAGTCACTGACTCTGGGTCTGGTTTTAATGAAGAACTCCTCGTTTTGTTTCAGCGCTGAACCACTGGAACTCAGTGAGGGGAGGGGGGGGGGCAGGAAATGACTCCATCCCCCAGAGAATTAGTGTGTGTATATGTGTGTGTGTGTGTGTTAGCAGGGCAAAGACAGGCAGTTTTCCAGATGTTTTAGACTGAAGGGATTGAAGATTTCGTCAAATCAAGACTCAGACAGTCTGTTGACTCAGTCTCTGTCTGTGGAGAAAAACTTTTGTCATTTAGATTTGTTGAAGTTTTGAGGCTGCTGTTGCTGGGACAGAGTTTTATGGGCTCCAGGAACGCTCCATCTCTAGCATTCCTCAGACCAAGGAAGGAAGCAGCGACGTTCAGAGTCTGGGACTCCATAAATCCTGGACCTGTAAACCAGGTCCCCTGGAGAAAAGTCGCTTTTTCAAGTCCTGATAATGTGGACTGTAGCGACAGCTTACATAAACAGAAGTTAAGGAGAGGATGGTAGATGGTCCAAACTGGGGGAGTGCCTTGGCACCACTGGCAGCCGCTGCACTGCAGTCATGGAGAATTCCATTACATCGAGCAGAGAAGAATCCTGTTGTCAGCATTCCGAGATTTGGATAAGTCACGACGGCAGCTGCTGTCGTGAAATTCAATCAAAGTAGTTTTTTTTCCCCAGAGTGGAAAATAAATTTTACAGCGTGCAAAACTGTTCATTCAACGTTGTCATTATCAAGAAGGAAGAAGATACAGTTCAACAAATCTGACAAACATCTGTTTGTGAACGCAGCCGGACTCTAACTGGAGTTATGCTGCTTTGGGAGAGTGGATTCTATGACAACTACAACGCTCAAAATATAATGATTAGATATTCATGGAGTTTCTGCTTAAAAACTGTGGCTCAAATCCACAACAAAATGATCAGTAAGAGCTCGGTACTACGTCACTAATTTAAACAGGATCAGCTTTATATAAACACAGGCATCAGTAAGGTGTGTTTACGTCATCGATGACAGCTGTCAAATGTCTACTTAGCACCACCTACAGGCCATAGGTGGGCAGCTATGAGCAATGAACAAAAGTGCCGTCTTTCACGCTTAAAAAAACATGAACAAAAAACTGATCAGATCAACTTAATGTACTGAACTGTACTGAACTGAACTGTACTGAACTGAACTGAACTGAACTGAAACTTTACTGAACTGAACTGAACTGAACCGTACTGAACTGAACTGAATTGAACTGTACTGAACTGAATTGAACTGAACTGAACTGTACTGAACTGTACTGAACTACAGGTGCTGGAGAACGTGCAGCTGAAACAGGAAGTGACACACATAGAAGAGGAGAGGATCCAGGTGGTGAACAACATCGAGGAGTTGGAGCAGAAGATCAAAGATCTGGACAACCAGATGGAGGAGTCGCTGCGAGAGGTAGAGCTACGACGGCACCAAACACGTCACGCAGACCTTTTTTTTTTTTTTTTTGTATTTTTTGATTTGTCTGAGTGTGACCTGTCTCTGCAGATGGAGGTGGAGTGTGCTCTGCTGGAAGGAGAGCAGGAGTCAGAGATGGCTCACCTCCAGAGGGACAAGGAGCTGCTGGAGCAACTGAAGGAGAAACTTCATGGCATCGAGAAGACGAGCCGCGCCGAGAGGACGCAGGTGAGAGAACTTTGATGAGCTCGGAAATCTGGAAAACCAGGGTCTGAGACCAGACGTTGATCAATGTTGTGGGCCATCACCTTCTGACCCTGTCCTGTCTCCACATCGTTTCCAATCCAAATAAATCCTCACATTCCTCCAGTGTTCCCACCATTGAACACCAACTCTGAGTCTACAGTAGAAAAACACTGCGTCGTGACGTGTGTGTGTGTGTGTTTTCACCAACTTCAGCTCAAAGAAACTATCTTTATATTTCTTTATATCCACTGCGTCGTGACGTGTGTGTGTGTGTTTTCACCATTATCTTTCTTTATATTACATTATACTGGAGAGGTGGTCAGGATGTAGCCCCGCCCTCTGTTGGTGGCAGCTGGAACTGACTTTGACACAGTTTAAAATAATTCAGTTTGAACCTCAAACCTGAAGATGACTCTTTGAACTGACGTCTGAGTTCAGTCGACTGTAGACTGTGGTCTGGTCGCTGTAATGCCTCACTTCACCTCTAGTCTCACACCTCATTGCCGTCAGGCCTGGAAACACTTTGGAATTCAAGGGCTGAAATAATTCCCACATGTTCCCAAACCTGCCGCTCCGACTGACTTCAGGTCCAGGAGGAGGATTAGTACTCAGTACAGTTGAGGTGCAGTTCTACCTGAACCACCTGCCACTCATGCGAGTACCGACAGGTGCGGTGACATCATTGGGAGGAAGCAGGAAGTGGGTTAGCAGGTTAGTCCAGATTCCTGTGTCAGTAAACTGTGGGTTAGCAGGTTAGTCCAGATTCCAGCCAGTCCTGTGTCAGTAAATGTAAACGGTCGTTGTGACTTCAGTCAGGAGTCGGTGCTGGTGCCGACACCGACCTGGACTTCAGTCCTGATCACAAGTAAGTGACTGAGGCTAACACCACACGGTGGTGAGATGGTAATTATTATTATTATTGGCAGGTTTGAAATGTTTGTCTTTTTTTTTTTAAACTATATTATTTGCATTTTCAGCGTCAAGTGTGGAGCACGTCTGTATCAAAGAAAGATCAGATTCTGTTCTGCTTCAAAAACTTAGTTGGAGTTTTTTGTTTTTTTCAAAAGCTAAAAACCTTTTTTTTTCCAAATCCACTGGAGTTTAAAGTTAAATAGTTTCTTATCATCTGACCCTGAGCCAAACTCTCACCGAGTCTTTTGATCAGTCCCAGGTATTTCTTATGTAAGTGTTTGTTTGTGTGTGTGTGTGTGTGTGTGTGTGTTGTACAGGAAACCAAGGACCAGACCAAAAGTCTGGAGGATCTGGAGTTTCAGAAACTGGAAAATGAAATTAATCAGGACGAGGAAAAAGAGAGTCGGCGCCAGGAGCTGCTGCGAGAAATAGCAGAGTGTCAGCGTCTCACTGTCACACGAAAGGTGAACTGAGCTGTGGAGTGCACGTGGCTAATGGTGCACGTGCTTTTACTTATCGCTATCAGCTAATCTGTTGTTGATGTTTGAAGTTTAATTTGTTTTAAATTTACAGACTGAGTCATGGAACTCAAAACACTTTTTCATCATTTTAGGCTTTTGTACCATCTCTACCTACATACATAGAAATCAATTGTGGCTTCAATTGTAAATACTTTCTTCTCCTTATAAGTATTTTTTTTTTTTTTTTGAGATTCTTTCTGTGAAAGTCTGTTTTGGTAAATGTCGTGTTCATTTCCACAGGAACGACTGTTGACTCTGAAGAAACAGTCGTCACAGATCACCTTACAGGCTCAGCAGGAGAGAGAGAATTTCCAGAAGGAGAAAAACAATTTACTTCTCATGCTGCAGAAGGTACACTGTCTGATGACGTCACAGTCAGTGTATAATGTCATAGGTTTTTTTTTCTAATTTTGTTGAAATGATTCCATATAAATAATTCTGTCATTTAGATTAGTCACAAATAAAAAAAGGTGAGAAACACTGACACCTACCGGCTGATGTCTGTATTTCTCTTCCAGCAATTGTTTTTTTTTTTGGCCCTGTGTTCTTGATTTCAGCTGAACATGGCTCAGTGACGTCACGAGCTTCTTCTTCTCTGTCTGTCGTCCACAGGAGAGAGAGAAACTGCTGTCTCTGGAGGGAAAGTACGCAGAGTTGTCCGAGGGCCAGACCTTCACCAACGTCCCCGTGGCCATCAAAGAGGTTCAGTAGGAGTCACTGTTCTTCATGATGGAACCTGGAGAACCCGGTCCTGCTCCGTGAATAAACCTCCTCTGTCTTCTTCTCGCTGCAGCACCTCCACTACCTGAAGGAGAGGAGGAGGAGCGGCAGAGAGCACTCCGACAGTCTGCCACAGAAGAGGAACCAGCAGCTGCCCATGTCCTTCGCTGGATCCCTGGCAGGGTCACTTCCCCCGAAGGTCATCACTGCTCCTGGGTTTTAGATCTTTGAGACATTTTTTCTTCCACAGTTTTGACTGTACTTTTATATTTGACAGTATATTTACACATATATAATGTCTGTACAAAGTTTCTGATTTGATCAAATCCTCCTGAAATCCTGAAAGTCTGGACTTTGGAGAAAATGATTTCCCAAATTATCTACTTGCGGAAAAATGCTACTTTGCGTCCCTAGGGGACGCTCCACCCAAACAGGATTTCTGCTCCACCCAGCCAGCTCATCAAGTAGTCTGCGAAGGAACGCAGTTTTGGTGGAGATGTAGATTCTGGCTGATGATGATGATGATGATGATTGATGTTGTTACTGTCCCCCCCCCCTCCTCCCCCTCCTCCTCCTCCTCCTCTTCCTCAGGCCCACCTGCCTCTGGCTCAGAGCTCCAGCTGTGGCAGCGTCCTCCCACAGAACTTCACCTACACCGTCAGAGACCTGAACGGCCGACGTCTGCCCAAGAGTGAGTCCAGGGGGAAAAAAACACCCTCTCCAGTTGTACTGTGTGTCGACCTTTGACCTCCGTTGGCTAATGAATGACATTAAAACCAGGCCAGAGGTCAAGATTCTTCTGAGTATAAGCTGTTGTTGTGTTTGTGTGTTTTCTTCTCCTAACTCTGACAGTGAACAGCCACACACACATGACTGACGACAGACAGAAGAGGGCAGAGTTCTGCAGCAGGCTGGTCCCTGAGCCCAGCGTCTTCCTGGACTCCTTCTCCTACCCCGACAACAGCCAGACCTCGGACACGGTCAGTGTGGACAGCTCCGACAGTCTGGAGACCAGCTTCTCCGCCTGCTCCCCGGACAACATCTCCAGGTCGGTGATGAACCACCAGAACGTTCAGAGCAGCCCTGAATTTGAGCTGTTGAACCAGTCGGTTCCAAACATAGGGTGTGCAGACCCTTGGTGGTACACAGAGGATACACACATATATAACTCCTTGTCTTTGCCCCCAGCGCCAGCACCAACAACATGGCCAAGATCGAGGAGATGGAGCGTCTGCTCCGAGAAGCTCAGGCCGAGAAGCTGAGACTCCTGGAGCACAGAGTAAAGAGTCTCTGATTGGATGACAGTGACACTCAGATGTGAAGGCGTGACTTCTTATTGGTGGGTGTGTTTCACCGTACAAACAGGAGAGGGAGATGGAGATCCGACGACAGGCTCTGGAAGAGGAGAGACGGAGGAGGGAGGAGCTGGAGAAAAGGCTGCAGGAGGAGACCAGCAGGAGGCAGAAACTTGTAGAGAGGGAGGTGAAGCTGAGGGAGAAGCAGAGATCGCAGGTGAGCAGAGAAGAAGAACTCAAACACCGCCGGCTTCACGTCACACAGTCGAAGTGAAGTCTGCGGTTGTTTTTTACAGTCGCGGCTGTTGACGCGTTACCTCCCCATGAGGAAAGACGACTTTGACCTTCACGGACAGATCGAGGCGGCGGGTCACAACCCAGACGCCTGCTTCCACCTCGCCATCACCGACAAAACCTGCCGAGGCTTCCTGGTCAAAATGGGCGGGAAAATCAAGACCTGGAAGAAACGCTGGTTCGTCTTTGACCAGAACCGTCGGACGCTCACCTACTACTCTGGTGAGTGTTGAAACCATCACACGTGATGACATCTGGACTGGACTCTGGTCTGTGGTGGCAGGGAATTCTGGGTAACTGTAGGAGACACTTGTGGATTTAAACTTTTTTTAAACCTGATTCTTCTCCACCGTCATCCTCCGCTGACGTTGTGGTAGGAGTAATGTCTTTGTAAGGAAATGTAGCGTTACTGCCACCTGTTGGACAAAGTCATCCACTGCAGGCATCGAATGTGATGAAAAATAAATTAATTTTTTTTTTTTTACTCAGAACAATAATTATTAATATACTTTATAGAAAAAAAAATCAGTGAAGGGATTTGGTGTCAACATGCACTTGTCTTATAAACTAAACCAAAGCCAGGAGGGGGCGCTACATGCCCCCCCATAGAACCTCAGTAACATCTGTGTTTATGTTTCCTGCTGCAGACAAACATGAGACCAAGATGAAGGGCGTGATCTACTTCCAGGCCATAGAGGAAGTTTACTACGACCATCTGAAGAACGCACACAAGGTGAGTGTGTGCCGGGGTTAGGCACCGTCACACACACACACACACACACTCTCTGAACACTGCTGACACCTGTGTTTATGACCCTCACCCCACCCTCACCCCAGAGCCCAAACCCCACGCTGACGTTCAGCGTGAAGACCCACGATCGAGTCTACTACATGGTGGCGCCGTCTCCTGAGGCCATGCGTATCTGGATGGACGTGATCGTCACAGGTGCTGAGGGACACATGCACTTCATGGTGTGAGGGGTTTCATCAGGTCAGGGGGGTCACGGCAGCAGAACCGAGGATGTTCTGGTTTCTGACTCATAACTGGTAGCGGTTCGGTTCTTCGTGGTGTTGGTCTCCACGGTGACAGAGTCGGTGCAGTGACACCGTGAGGTTCAGGCACCAGAGAAAGTTCCCGAGCCTGATTTTGGTCTTGGTATCGATGGTGTTCGGTTCAGAGCGTCATGTGGTCTGAAGACCTGAAACCAGGAAGTGTTACGTTGACCCTGCAGGTGTGTCGACCACATGACCTCCAGACAGACTGTCGCCCACGGCCTCCGCTCCTCTATCTTCTCCAACCAGACGGTGGAGAGTTTGTCACAGATAGAATTAAATTAACCTCTGCTACAGGTTGACTGCAGCCTGCGTTGTTTTTCACGTATCCTCCATTTTCTAACAGAACAGGATTCTCCTTCTGCACATACTAATGTCCATCACTTTAACGTGTCATGGTGTCCTCACTCCACAGCTGCAAAAATGCACATTTCTTCCCAGTTTCAGATTTGTTACTTCTATATTTGTAGCCATTTTCAAATATCATGTACATAGTGTGTTTATTCATATATATATATATATATTTGTTTGCTGCTGCCTAACAACAGTATAAGCTGGTTATTTCCTGCTCGTTTAGAGCAACTTTGAATGTTTCTGGGTCACGTGGTGTTGGTCTTTTTAGCTTCACTTCCTGTCGTTCTTTTCAATTGCTTTTTTTAAAAGATTTTAATGTTTGCTGACAACTGTTTTAATGGAAAAAAAAAACGTTTTTATTTTATTTTTTTCGATTCTCTGCTTGAATCTTTAAGCCTGGGCATCGAGCGCCCTCTATGGTTTACGGTTTTGCTGACAAGAACCAAACATAATCGACCACCAAACATCTCCAAAAATGGCGGACAATTCTTCTTTTTTTTTTTTTTTTTTGAAGAGTAAAACGTCACATTTACCCGTGTGGTCAAATTTGTGTTTGCGCTGCCAACATTAGGAATATTATGGTAGGAAGTGACGTGTCGTCACCAGGAAGGAGCGCGTGTAACAAATCCTAAAAACATTTTATTAACAAACTAAAAGTTGTTTTTGGGATGTACGAAGTGACTGAAGCGAAATGATTTGAAATTTCTTCACCTTTTTATCTTCACCTAAATTCTCTGCTTGTTGCAGAGAGACACGTTTTACGGCGATGAGGTCACGTGGTGTCCCGCTTGAGTATCAGCGGCATTAATTTGTGTTCACCAGCAGAGGGCAACATAGTGCAGCGAGAGCCAACTGCAATGACGTAATGCCCTCCTTGCTCGGTCACATGACTGGGGGAGAACAGTGAGTCAGAGTTTCGTGGATTTTATTTTTAGATGAAACGTTTAAATATAAAGTCCGTGTGTGAGTCGATGAGCAGATGTTTGAACGTTAGCTTTTTGAAAACAGCTCCGAGCCTTAAATAGTGAAGTACAAACAGTTATTTTTCTATATATTAAATATAACTACAGTGTTTTTACGACTCACCGTTGTCCTATTTGTATTTTTTTTTTTAATCAATCTCCAACTCCTTCCTAAGGGACCGTCTGTAGGTTGTCGACCTCAGGCTCAGGGATGTGAACTAGTGTCACAGAAGAACCTCTGCCTTAAAAACCAAAAAAAAACAAAACACATTTACACTTTTATATCTTTTATATTTGTATAAAAAACAATATCGATTTTTTTTTACAGCGTTCTGGTGCTTTTATATTCAAAGTGTGTCCTGAATAAATAGTTTGGATGATTTGACAACGTCCTGTTTTTATCGCTTAAAAATGAAGACGACGTTTGACTGAGGTTTAAGGTGAAATTCTGTCTGAATCAGAAACAGTTCTGTGGACCAGTGCAGTGACAGCTCATATACTGGAGTGTGTTTTCCCATGGATATTGAATGTCATGGCATTATATCAGCACGGATATAATGTGTCACCTGAGGGATCGACGCTGGTGACAACAATGAGGTGGAACAGGATATTTGAATTAAACTGCTTTAATTTGAACAGCCGTTACTTCAACGATTGGGACGGTTTCTGATGATCGACCGACTTATAGTAGGAGTGTGTGTGTGTGTGTGTGTGTAAACAAATGTTTTGTTGAAATGACAGGATATTAAACATAAATATAGGATCAGGAGGAGATTTAAAAATTGGTTGAAAAAAAAGTAAATTCTAGAGTTTAAATAAAGGCTAACGCTCAACGTCTGAGGTGATGATGAGCCATGAGCTAAAAATGCATAAAAAAAAAGGAAAGGCAGGAAAGGGTTAAATTAGCTAAAACTACATTTAGTTATAAAAAAAACATCTGAAAATGTAGCGGAACCGTTGAATGACCTGAAATAATAACAAATTAACTGAACTGTCAGAGTCCAGTCCAGTCCAGTCTAGTCCAGTCCAGTCAAGTCAGTCCAGCCCAGTCTAGTCCAGTCCAGTCCAGCGAGTCCAGTCAAGTCAGTCCAGTCCAGTCAAGTCAGTCCAGTCCAGTCCAGGCCAGTCAGTCCAGTCAGTCCAGGCCAGGCCAGTGAGTCCAGTCCAGTCCAGTACAGTCAGTCCAGTCCAGCCCAGTCCAGTCCAGTCCGGTCAGTCCAGTCCAGTCAAGCCCAGTCAGCCCAGCCCAGTCTAGTCCAGTCCAGTCAAGCCCAGTCAGCCCAGCCCAGTCTAGTCCAGTCCAGTCCAGTCCAGTGTGTTTGCAGTGACCCCTCCTGTTTGTATGTACACCCCGTTCACGTTCACGTTGGAGCTCTTATTTTCCTGGACTCTCACAGCCTTTCATTTCACAGACTGACCTAGTGGGGTTGTCATGGTAACCCAGAGGGAAGCATGCTAAATTAGGTCCCAAAGAGGGGGCATCATCTCTGCACAGGCATCAACACACACACACACACACAGAAACACAGGCCTCAGAGAAGGGGGGGGGGACTCTGTGAAAAGCTGCATCACCGACATGTGAACTGAGATAAATGACATGAAAAAGTCCTGTAACACAGGCCTCAGAGAAGGGGGGGGGGACTCTGTGAAAAGCTGCATCACCGACATGTGAACTGAGATAAATGACATGAAAAAGTCCTGTATAAAGACTAAAATGCTAAAATGCTTTTGTCATTTTCTACGCCATCTATTGGGGAAACATGGGTACTGCAGGGAAAAGGAAGTCAGAAGTATAATGATAATATAAATAAATTATATAATTTGGGACAAGTTTGACGGGCTGGATTAAAAAGCTGATCCGGCCCCTGAGCCTTAGTTTTGGCCACACCTGTGTTCACACCGACAGGCTGTGAACAGAGAGTGTTTGTGGTGTTTGTTCTGATCAGATCCGGCTGCAGCAGATCATGTGAAACCACCGTGACTGAAGATTTATTTTCAGGAATCTTCTGGCAGCAGAACGTTTGGTCACACGTGACGCTGCACCACAGCGCGGTCTTTGTGCCGTCAAATCTGTCTGCTATTTTAAAACTATTTTTCTTAAAAAAGAAAAAATCCAAATTACAGGTGTTACCAAGGAGGAGGCGTGTGGTGTTGGAGCCTGGGGGAGAATCTGTTCCCTCTGTATCAGACACAGATGTGCCTCCAAACAAACTCTTCTTCTTCTTCTTCTTCTTCTTTCCCTGTCACCCCTTCAGTGAGTTTTCTTTTTAAAGTGAAGCTTGTTCTTCCCTGGACTCGTGTTACCAACCTCCACTCAGACCAGTTTCCTTTTTCTTCACCTCAGGTTAAAAAGTTGTTCAACTTGTTTCCCAACCTTTTCCTTCCTGTTCCAGACTGAGCTGAGATACAAACACTAGGCAAAAAGTAAAACATTTAAAATGACAACAACTCTAATATATAACATATATCTGTATAAACTGTATATTTATATATTTTTAAAGAGAAGTTTCCGACACTTCCTTATTGTCACACAGATTGACTGGTTTTTGTTTTTATCAGGTGGATCAGAGCAGAGACCGACAACAGACCGACAACAGACCGACAACAGACCGACAACAGAGACCGACTGAAGACAAAACAGACAAAAACCTGCAGCAACTATTTCATGTTTTCAGGAGTTTCCAGCAGGTATTGGTTCCTTCACACCTGTGTCAAATGGATGACCTCAGAGATGACCTCAGTTGACCTCATAAATGACCTCAGTTGACCTCATAGTTGACCTCATAGTTGACCTCATAGTTGACCTCTTAGACTGGAATTCTTTCCAATTGAATCAACAGATAATTGGTCTGTGGTAAAAAGTCTTTAGTTAAATGTTGGTCATGGGTTTAGTTGTGTGATGTTAATGTTTTAGGTTAACTCTCTAGTTAGTACTCTAGTTAGCTCTCTGGTTAACGCTCTAGTTAGTTCTCTAGTTAGTTCTCTAGTTAGTGCTCTAGTTAGTTCTCTAGTTAGATCTCTGGTTAGTGCTCTAGTTAGTTATCTGGTTATTGCTCTAGTTAGGTCTCTGGTTAGTTCTCTGGTTAGTTCTCTAGTTAGTGCTCTAGTTAGTTCTCTAGTTAGTGCTCTAGTTAGTTATCTGGTTAGTGCTCTAGTTAGTTCTCTGGTTAGTTCTCTAGTTAGTGCTCTAGTTAGTTATCTGGTTAGTGCTCTAGTTAGTTATCTGGTTATTGCTCTAGTTAGGTCTCTGGTTAGTTCTCTAGTTAGTTCTCTAGTTAGTGATCTAGTTAGCGCTCCAGTGATGGAGTGGCGTCCTCGTGATTGTTGTGCGTTGCAGACTAAGAATAGCCGCGGCTCATTCCCATCACCCGCTCCTCTGATAAGAAGAGCTGTGTTCAGCGTGGTTTTTCCTCCTGGCAGCTGATTGGCCGAGCCGCTCTGACACCCGTGTGTTGAATATTCAGGTCAGTGAGCTTCGAGGGTGGATGTTGATGATGGAGCCGCTGGAGCGGTGCGACTGTCGGGGCACGAAGAGCCGGGGCCGCAGGCCAAGGTTGAGCCCCCGCTCCTCAT